GACGCGGGGCGCTGCAACTCACAAGCCACGAGATCATGACCTGAGCCGAAGTCGGACGCTCAACCGACTGAACCACCCAGGCGCCCCAATATTTTTCAAAAAAGAAATTGATCTTTCTACGAAGGGGTTATGATCAAGATGCGTGTGAATTTTTTCCCAAAGAGCTTTTACACGCACACACGAGTTACAATGATAATAGCTATTTTTGATTTCCTTAGTTCTTACCGTGGCTGAACATTGCTTTTAGCACTCACCTGTGATTAATCACGTACCCTTCACAAACCTTTACCCTCTTTCGGGTGGATGCTATGATTGTGTCTCTTTAACGGAGAGAGGAACCGGATCTGCTTTACGGCCCGTTGCCAGTTTCCCAGTCAGTAAGATTATTGGAGAAGTAGTAATGGCTGATTGCCCGTGTTGGTCACTTGGCGAGAAGGATTTTAGCCTCTTGGCAGTAACCCCACGGTCTGGGCAAAAGTAAGTGACCCACTCAAGTAGGCCTTTCGTTGTCTGTCTCATCCCAGGGGAAGCAATTGGGGTAGATTTCCCCGTGAAAGTTCCCTACAGGAAAATCACGTTCAACCCCGGCTGTGTGGTCATCGACGGCATGCCCCCGGGGGTGGTCTTCAAAGCCCCCGGTTACCTGGAAATCAGCTCCATGAGAAGGATCTTGGATGCTGCGGAATTTATCAAATTCACAGTCATCAGGTGAGTGAGAGCTCCCTGCTTGGCCACGAGAACCAACGTGCGGCTCGCCGTGTGCACAAGGTGGGCTTTTTTTTTTTTTTTTACCCCAGGAGGTGGGCGGTGGGTCCCTGAAGCCAAGCTTCTGCGCCAAGCCGCCTCCCCCACTGAGTTTACCGTACTCTGCTCCTGGGAGCCGTGTGTCCATGTCCCTGGTGACGGCGGCGGCCTCCCCCACTGCACCTAGCGTAGTGTTGACGCTCGCCAAAGCCCGTCAACCAGAACTGACCGGGCAAGAGGGGACGGATGACCTCTGTTGCATTCACCGTGTCTCTTTCTCTTCAGACCGCTTCCGGGCCTCGAGCTTAGCAACGGTGAGTATCCCGGGTGGCGAGAAGGGCGTTCTGGCACCCAGCGTGCCGTGCGACGCGTCTCGGCGGGCACTCCTTGCTTCTTGAGCCTTGAGCCTTACAGCAAAGCGTGGTGCTCTCTAGATGCAGTTTCTTTTTTCCCCGCTGGCGATCAGGTCCTTTAATTCTGCTGCTCAGCCAGGCATTTCTTCTCCCGCGATGGTTTGGTGCGGCTCACTGGTGCGCCCTCATCCGGGAGCCCTCCAGGGGCTGGTAGGTCGATGCCGAACTAGCCCATCCTAGCCGGTAAATAGGGCCTGCCTGGCCACCACAGCTCCACCCACCCCGTGATCCCCCACCCAGATCTCCCCACAGTTCAGACCCAAAAGGGGTACCGCCTGGCACAGACAGGGGCTCCCAGGGCCCCCTCAACCTGTTCTGACAGAGCAATGCCCCAGCCACCGTGCGTGGCAAATATCTCCCCTGGAGTCCCTGCACGCAACTTAACACCCTGGAGGGTGAGTGAAGCAGGTGGAGAGCTGTTCGCAAGAGTGCGAGTCACGAGGGAACCTCCTCGTTTACAGTTTGAAAACAACGAAAACACTCTTGACAAACGCCCGACTGTTATTCCTAAACTCACCTTGTTGCCAAATGAATTTTTTTTTTTTGGTACGTTTTTGTACCCAGCTTTACGGGGGCATGGTTTACGTGCCGTAAAACTCGCTCGTGTGCAGTGTGCACACGTCAGTGATTTTTAGTAAATTTACAGAGTTGTGCAACCGTCACCACAATCTAACATTAGGACATTCCTGTCACCCCCAAAACATTCCTTCTACCCATGTCCCGTCATTTCCCGTTCCCGCCCCCAGCCCCAGGCAACCACCGAATTGACTTTCTTTCTGTCTCTGCCTTCGTTTTCTTAAAGTGAATTTTTAGGCCTGTGTTTTCTCCCAAGTAGAGCTCACCTGCATCGTGGCCAGATTTCTTTAAATTTCAAACAAGTAAGTTCTGTGCGGTCCCGTGGCTATCTATGACCATGGTCTTTTGTGACTCACAGCAGGTAAATCACGCGCCTTCTGTGGCCATCCATGTCTCTGTTATTTCAAAGTTCTCTGGAGACCCAAATGAAAAAATATGCATTAAAATGCAAACATACTGCCAGATCATTCTTGCTTAAACCAGATGTGGCAAACATAGGTCCTTGCTGAACTTTACAAAAGATGCCTTTCTTTTGGCTCATGTACCTTTTTTTTTTAACTTTTTTTAAAAGTTTATTTATTTATGAGAGACAGAGAGACAGAGTGTAAGGGGGGAGGGGCAGAGAGAGAGGGAGACACAGGATCCGAAGCAGGCTCCAGGCTGTGAGCTGTCAGCATAGAGCCCAAGCCCAACTTGGGGCTTGAACCCATGAACCATGAGATCATGACCTGAGCCGAGGTCAGACGCTTACTG